CTATTTCTTTATATTCTTACTATAAATTTTTTAAATATCTTAATAGCAAACTAATCTGATATTTAAGAAAATGTAATCAAGTAATTCATCATAATTGTTCAGTTATATATATATATTGTTTAAATCAGTAAACCTTAAGCATGCAGAGCAGAGCCTATTGCAATTGAAATTTTGACAAATCATATTACTAGATCAATAATGATGCATAAAATATGTATTATTAATTTGTAGTTTGATAAAGTAAAACTATGTATAAATAGAATAATAGATAGAGTATAACTTAGTAAGTTAATATATTCTTATTCCAATTATTAATATCATAATAAAGAAACTACTAATCTTGTTGTTAAGCAACTGTAGTGGTCATATCAACATAAAAAGGATCAACAGTGAAATTAGACAAAAAAGATCAAAAGTGAGCTAAATTGCAAATAAAAGTCTTATTTGTAAGCTATACAAATTGATTGAAGCAATTTAATATAAATATATCAAATATATCAGTTTATAATCAAACCTCAATTTCAAAAAAAATAATTAAAAAGAAAATAAATATCTTAAAACAAGCAAAAACCATATCTACTTTTTTAGTTTATCCAAATAAAACCTCTAAAAAATTTACCTGTTATAATTTTTCTAATGAACTTATGACAATTTCTGATGCAATTAATTTGCAAGAAATTATCCTATCTAATGTAAATAAAAATCAGAACACCAATTCAAGTATCATACCATCCTTATCTCTTGAATCAATGTTACTCTTACCTCTTGAATCAATATTACTCTTATCTTTTGAATCAGCACTATCCTTATCTCTTAAATTAATATCATTTTTACTTGAATTAGATAATTTAGTTCTGTTTTCTCTGTCTTCTTTATCTTTATTTTCTTTATTTTCTAAACCAAAAAATAAAAAAAACAAAAAATATTTTAGTAGATAATATTGATAAAGAGTCTTTACTTTGGTCAAATACAGTTATCAAATCATTATTTTCTTACTTATCTGACAATATATCACTTTATCAAATAAATAAACAAAAATTTTATTTTAAAGCTGCTTTATATCTTGGTAATAGTAAATAGAAGATCAGATTTATAATAAGATCAGCTTATTTATTAGCAGATATATGGATGAAAGCTTGAACAAAACTAGCAAAAGTGTATCTAATTGGCTTTTTTATACTGAAATAAATAATATATTTAGAAACTGTGAAAATATAAATTCAGACTATTTAATTAATAGCACAGATCAGGTAAATATTACTTTAACTTTAATTTTGTAAAAAAGTTTATTTAAATATTTTTATTTTATCACCATAATTTCTGTTAGAATATTTTTTATATATATTACAAATCACATGAGAGTGAAATCTGCTTTTATATAATAAAAAGCATAGCTAAATGCAAATTTCTCCTAATGTGATCTATGTAGTGGCTTTTACTAATTTATAGCATGGGTTTCACCCTCTTCTATTATATTTATAATATCATATATAGGTTTATTACAAAAAGATAAGAATTGTTCTATAAAATCTAATAAAAAATATTGACAGGATGAAGATGAGATGCATTATATTAAGTCTATCAATATGATTATACAAAGTAAAAAAACTGAGATCAAAACCAAGCAAAAACTTTATAAATTAGAAAAGAAAAACTTGAATTTGAAAAAAAAGTGGAAACATGAAAAAAATGAAAAGACTATTTTAGAAAAATATTTTGAATATAAATTACAATTAGAATTAAAAACTAGAGAACTTGAACTTAACTTTAAAAATCAGGCAATAAAAGAAAATGAGTTGTAAAATATTTTTATATCATATTTTTTTAATTTTTTTTGATACACTGATATTATATTTGTATTAAATATCTTTACAGTATATGATATGATTAAAAATCTTATACTGTACAGTATAGTATAGTAATATATTTTACAATAA